GTCTAACATTATTATAGTATTATTATATACGAAGTGCATATCATACGAGAATAAAAGTTTCACCGAGAATCGAACCCGGGACCATTCATTCAAGAAAATTTAAACCGGTAGAATCCGAAAGATTTGTGGTTGATTGAAATATTGGTACTATTTATCATTATTCTTTGACCTCGTTTGACATTAAAATGAATCAGCACTGATTGTTTTTATATGGGTGAGACTGCCAGAGAGGCTAAATTTAGTCACACGCATTTGACTGTGAACAAAAGATTAGCAAGTCTGATGTCAAGTAATATAAATTATATGTATATTTGAAAGACAACAAACACTTAGAAATAGCAAAAGAGATAATGCAAAAGGCAAGCAAACACATAAAAAAAAAAAACCTTTGGGGAAAGAGGGGAATGTCCAGCTATATATACAAAAAGTGAACAGGCCTAAGCTGAATTTGACAAATACTTAGAGAAAAAAATATTTAAATTAGTTCAATTAAATTAATCAATTCTTCATTGGATTTCTTTGGTAGGTCAACATTATTAAATGATGCACAGTCAAGTTAAAAGTGTTATGAACTAGTAGGCCTAAACGTCAAGACGATCCATACGAAAAATACACCTAGAAACTAAAACGAACGCATGTATTATAGCCTTGTATGACTGGAAATGTATTCACAGTTGTAAATCTAATCGGTTATTTATTTAAAATGCAGTAACAACAACAAAACTCACTTCTATAAGCAACGATCTGTGACGTGTGATTTACATCTCGTGCCTTTAGCTGTCTTACCTCACAAGCTGGGTTCGTTCTGGCTTCGAGGGGGACATGCCCAGGTGTATAAAGTAGCACACATAATACTATTCATCGTGGCATTAACTATTAGTATTAGGCTAAGGTCAAGTTATTAAAATACAAAGCGAATCAACAATGCATGTAATTTCTATCCACAATCATGTTCCCACTCTAGGCCTATTTGTACCATCCTGTGTTTCTTGTCTGTTGTACCGAGATAACGCCTTACGTTTGTTTACGTTTTGCATATCTTGTGAAAGTGTAGACGACAAATCATAATATCTTTATTAACCTCTAATCGTTTACTCACACTTAAATATTATATGCTTAATTTAACGTACTAATTCCACTACACTGGATTTCACTAACGATATAAAAAGTGATATTTCACGCACAGTAAACTCAATAATTATCGCTAAGATATGCGTTCTATTATCGTTTGCCTTTTTTAACGTGAAAAATATCGAATAATTATTTCATTTTAATTTAGATGTATATAATTTACATCTTCTGTTAAAACGTTCTTGCATAGAAAATTGTAACACAATATGTTGGACCTTAATACTCAGTTTGTATGAAAATATAAACGTAGGCCTAATATGAAGGAAGTTTAATGTAAGTATTTTCGAAAGATTTAACTTTAACTTACGTGTCCAAATATATAGGCCTAAATAACATAAATTTAAGACAAATCTATTAAAATACATCGTCATTACATTTTTCTATGTTTAATGTATTTTAGTCGGCCATTACATGTGAGTTAATAGTAGTCCTATATTGTTATAATTGTTACTATAGAAAGAATTTGAACAAATCGATATATTCCACTGGGTTACATTGTCCTACTTTAGTAATTGTATGCGTACGGTACTGCTGTATTAAAACATATACGTCTTCATCACAATTACTTTGATAAAGTACATTGAACTTCGTCTCTGTCTTTATTACACATAAAGCAACACATAACTCGTTACCTGATATCAAATAATAAGTGTACACACTAATAGCTGCCAACACTCAGGCACATTTTGTGCGTGAAAACATCAAATCAAATAATATCTCTCGTGATTTATTGCCGCATGAATTG